TTTGGTTTCAGTTTGAGCTGGGTGGTGCAACGCAGGGAACCCCAAGCTGGGGTCTAAGCTCCCTGAACCTCCCAGAGGGACCTAATTGAGGGGGTCTGGTCGTACCTACACGCTCTGCTTGAGACTGTGTTCCTGTCCTTAAATAAACCTTCTGCTTTACTGGCTGGTTGAGAGTCACAGTGAATCTCAGGAAGAGGGATGCAGGGCCCTGACTCCCCCACACTCTGCGACAGTGACTTGTGTCCATTTATCCTCTTGCATAGTGACTGTCCAGTTTGGCCAATGTACATAGCAGAGGGGCATTGCTGGCACATGATGGCATATATAACATTGGTGGACGTGCAGGTGAATGAGCCCCTGATGGTGTAGCTAGTTAGTCTTAAAGGTGCCACAGGACCCTCTGTTGCTTTTTACAGATTCAGACTGAGGCTAGTTCTACACAACCCGCCTGAATCGGCGGCTAGAAATCGATCTCTCAGGGATCGAAGAGACGCGACAATCGATCCCCGAATCGACGCTCTTACTCCACCAGCAGAGTGGGAGTAAGCGCCATTGAATGGGAGCCGCGGAGGTCGACTTTGCCGCCGTCCTCACAGGGGGGTAAGTCGGCTCCGATACGTCGAATTCAGCTACACTATTCTCGTAGCTGAATTTGCGTATCTTAAATCGACCCCCCCTGTAGTGAAGACAGCTACCCTTCTGATACTCTGATGCAGATTCTTCTGCCTCTTGGGGGAAGACTTCTGTCTTCCCCCCACTTTGTAATCAATTGCCCTGTTGAATGAATGAGGTGTGAATGAGGAAGGCGTGGAAGGCAGGCACCTCCAGACAGCTGCAACCCTTAGAGACGGGATGGGAGTCAAGTGGGCTGACTAGAGAAGAGCAGACATACTGACGGCATCAGGGGTTAGAAGCATGTACCTTCCTTTGGGAACACCCTCTTTGCAGTACTGGGACAACCCCGAGCCCAGAGAAAAGCAGCAAAAAGGACCAACGGACACAGTCCCAGATTTTGAATCTGGGAGATTTGCATAAGAGGGAAGCTGCTATAAAAGTGAGGTGTCTTGCAGGGTACACTGGGTTTCGTCTTGTCAACATCAGAGCATCGATCCGGATCGGCAGAAGCCTGGCTCCACCTCTCCCCCATCTAACTCACCTGGCCAGTGAAGTTAAGGGGAGCAACTTGTTGGTAACAACAGCAAGGCGGAGTGTGTTTGTGTGTGTGTATGTGAGCGCATGTGTGATATATATCATATGCATGATAATGTTGATTATTACATGTAGTACTAATAAATGTGGTGTTTTGCCTTATTCCCTCTGAAAAGATCCTGTACAATACGTTAAGTACAACACAATCACAAAAATTAAAATACTGACAATGGATGCCCCCATCCAGCCACCGACTCGCCGCTCGCCTCCTCCCCCCCCGCCGAGTATAAAGCCTCGCAGCACTGCCCACCCTGCCCGGCTCGTCATCCCCCCAATCCAGCTCGCCTACTCACCCCCCACCGCCCGCTCACCTCCTCAGCCCTCCTCCCCCACCACCGGCTCACCTGCCCCCCTCCACCGCCTGCCTGCTCGGCTCATCAGCCCCCACCCACCCCAGCTCGCCTCCTCACCCCCCACCGCCCGCTCCCCTCCTCAGCCCCCCCTTTTCCCCACCGCCACCTGCCCTTCCCGCCACT